TATATATATATATATATATATATATATATATATATATTATATAGTATATACAGTACATAGCACTTTTTGATGCTAAATAGCAGTACTCCTATCCAGAGTTTAAAAAAGCATTTAATTTTATATTGATCAGCATCCCTCCACCAATCAAGCTGGTAGTTCATTGTCTACTGGATTTTCTTTGTCAAGCAAATCTATGGACTTAAAAAAAAATTCTGTCAACTTTAGTTCCATGCTGAGTAAAATGGTTCCTCTTCAGCATGCATTTTATGCAGCACTCAAATAGTTATTTTGGACAATATGCCATTTGCCTATGAGCAAATCCAACTCCAGGATAACTGGACCTGATGTGGTAACAACTCAACTTCAACATAAGATAGCTGTCTCTACTTGTAATATTTTTAATCTATGTGTAGTCCTTAATGAAATTACATCTACATGAAGGGAAATAAGAAGTGAGGTTCCACAAAGTTCCATTTTAGATCCAGTTCTTTTCAATATCTTCATAAATGATTTAGATGAGGGAATAGAATGGGAAATCATCAAATTTACAGATGACCCTAAATTGGCAGGAATAGCCAACACCACAGAAGATAAGGTCAAGATAGATTTGAATCCTGGGCCCCATCTAACAAAATTAAATTCATCATAGAGAAAAGTAAGAAAAGTAAAGTCTTACACTTAGGCAAGAAAAACCAAAAGTACAGATACAGATTGGGTGAAACCTTGCTCAATTATACATCTGTGAGAAGGATCTTGGAATCTTAATGGACAATTATTTAAATATGAGACAACAGTGTGTGGCAGCAGCCAGAAAAGCTAATGTCATCCTAGGTTGCATTAACAGAGGTATATAATCAATGAAGTGGACCCTGTAGGAACAGGGACCAGTTATTTCGGTGACGATGGCAGACACCTACCCTCCAGTGTAGTTCCTGGCCCAGGCCAAGTCTCCCACCTGGAAGGAACCCTACCCAGCCCTCAATCTCGTCATCCAGGCGGGGCCACCAGATGTAACTCTGGGCAAGCGCCTTCATGCATGCGACCCCGGGGTGGTCTGCATAGAGATGGGAGAGGATCTGGGGGCAGATGGAGGGCGGAATGACAACTCTGTCACCCCATAATAGGCACCCACAGTGTAGAGACAGCTCTAACTGATGCGTCTTAAAGGGATAGAACTCCTGAGAGACTCCCCCTATAGGCCAGCCCCTCAGGACCCATGCCATGACTTGCAAGAGGACAGGATCAGCCTCAGAGTGGGCGGCCACGTCAGTGGCTGACAGAGGAAGGTCCAGGTCTGCAATGGACAGGACTGAGAGTCACAGGACTGGTTGTGGTTCAATATAGGGAAGGGGGCAGCGGCTAAGAGCATCGGCGTGCCCCAGCTGCTTGCCAGGATGGTATCTCAGCGTATAGGAATACGCTGCAAGAAACTCCATCCAGCGGGTCATCCTGGGAGACAGGATTGGAGACGTCGGCCTATCACTGGCCAGAAGCCCAAGGAGAGGCTTGTGGTCAGTGTAGAGAGTAAAGTGCTGACCATAAAGATAGTCGTGAAATTTTTAAATCTCGGACACCGCAGCCAGAGCCCCCTTGTCAATCTGGCTGTAGTTCCTCTCAGCTGAGGTGATTATCTGGGAATAAAAAGCACAGGGGCCTCAGAGCCATTAGGAAGGACGTGACTCAGAACAGCCCCCATACCAACAGGGGAGGTGTCACATGCTAACGTCAGCGGCATCTTGTCACTGTATTGTACTAACACTGCCTCTGACATCAGCATAGCTTTGACAGCCGCGAACACATGTGCTTCACGGCTGTCCCAGCGCCAGGCCACAGATCGGTCGAGCAACTGATGCAGCGGCTTGGCTAGTGATGTCTTGTGAGGCAAGAAAGGCACATAAAAATTTAAAAGGCCAAGGAATACTTGCAGCTCTGCCTTGGAGGTGGGCACAAGGGCATTCCGAATGGCAGCTACTTTAGAGGGGTTAGGGTGAATTCCCTGGGAGTCAATCGTGAAGCCCAGGAATTCCACCTTAGGCACAGCAAAGGAGCATTTGCTGTGCTTTAATTTGAGACCCGCGAAACAGTCGAGGACCTTCCGAAGTACTTCAATGAGCCCAGAGCGGTTGGTAGCAGCAATCAGGACGTCATTGAAGTATGGGACGATGCCAGGGAGCCCATGGAGCAACTGCTCCATGAGGCTATGGAAGATCCCCGAGGCAACGGAAATGCCAAATTGGAGGTGGCGACAATGGAAGGCCCCACGGTGGGTGACGATGGTCTGAGCAGCTGCCGCATTGTCATCCACCAGGAGCTGCTAGTAGGCCTGTGCCATGTCCAGTTTGGCAAAGGTGCAGCCCCGCCCCAAGGAATGGAGCAGGTGCTGCACCACAGGGACTGGATAGGTGTTTGCCTGGAGACCAAGGTTGATGGTGGACTTGTAGTCGGCGCAGATCCTGATGGACCCGTCGGCCTTGACAGGGACCACTATTGGGGTCTCCCNGCCGCCCTGAGTCCTTGGGAGAAGGGCAGCATATAAATCGAATAAACCTAAACCTAAACCTTAAGGGCTGTTATTTAAAGGGATAGGTCAATACTTGCTAAGCTCAGCCCAGATCCAATCTCTATGAAGACACTTCCTGTTACTGAAATTTAGCTACTATCATCCTAAACTTTAACAGTTTTGTTACACCATTTTGTTAGTTTAACTTACAAATGTTTTAAAGCCTTCCTAACTTATGTAGCAAATCTATTACGTGTTACTCAGATAATTTATTTTTTATATTTATTTATTTAGGCATAATTTTAAATAATTCTAAAATTTAAATTTTTAGTCAATTACTTAACATTAAAAGCTGAATTAATTTATAGCATAAAAAGATAAACATTGTTATACTAGTGTTATAGATGCTTATCAAAAAGTAAGTTTTGAAAAGTATACAATTGCTGGATTTAATAGGCAGATACTTGTATGTACAGTATGTTATGAGGATATGTACACTGCTCTTGTATAATTCTCTAAAGCAATTAGTTGTAGATTTTCACTGGGTCTATCCACCTTGCTTATGGTGATACCTCCTTTCTCCCATCTTTCCCTGTGTTAGACCCTTCTCCAGAGAGCTAGGTCTTCACATAATGTGTCTAAAGTAGGATAATTTTAGTCTAATCATTTGTGTCTTGAGCGAGAATTCTGGATATGTTTGTTCAATAATACATTTAATTGTCTTCTCAGCTGTCAATGGTATTCACAAAGAGCAACTAAATTGTTTCCAGAATTTCACCAAACAGTCATTTCTTTAGTGAGCTCCAAAACTCCAAAACAGTTTTGGAGCTCACTAAAGAAATTACTGTTTGGTGAAATTCTGAAAACAATTTAGTGCCCTTTGATCCTATATTTTGGTTTGCATTGGTCCCATAGTTACTTGATGTTTCTCTGATATTTTGTGCATCAGGAAAAAACATGGCATATTTAGCATGCAATAAAATACTAACAAAGAGTCTGTAATTATCTCGGCTTTTTTCTTCATTATATTTGTTGTTCTTTCCGTAGGCAGAGAGGTACAGCAAGGCACACCCTATTTTCTGTATCAGGCCTTATTCCTGTACACTGGAGCAATGTCAATTGCCATGGCAATGAAGAAAACATCATGCTGTGTGAAAAAACTACTTGGCAAGGTCGAATGTGTCCCCAGAATATGGCAGCTGCTGTCACGTGCAGCTTTTCCCATGGTAAAAGAAAAAAGAAACATAATTTAGTCTTATACCATGCAAACAGCAGTTTCATACAAGAAGATATGATAGAGGATTACATAGTAGAAAACTATTGATAATAAAATGATTTAGTTAGTCTTTTTGAGTATGATGCCCTCTAGATATGTTGGGGTAAATAATTGTGGAATTTTGGGGAATGCCACACTAAGAATGTCTAAAATAAGTTAATTCATGGGCAGACACTCCATGCTTAAATGCAGTTCTGCTACAGTGATATAAACAGTGATGGGGATCAAAAAGAGAGGAGCACAAAATTCTTACCTTGTCTGTAAATTCCATTCCAAGAGCAATGAATTGAGAATTACCGTCTCTTGCCTCATATCTTTTTTCGCTCTTTAAAAAAAAATCTGCTATCTGAAATTTCTCCTTCAGACTGGTTTTGAAGACTTCCCGTTGGATTTATGCAACAGGTTAAGGAATAAGAAAATTTTCTTTGGGAGTGCTCTTGTTTTTGAAATTCAAGGCAGGCTTCCTCTCCCAGTAATTTTTATGCTTCAGTATTCAGTTTGATTTTGAGTGTCCATTCTATTAAAAAATAATGGGCTTTATGTTTTGCGTGGTATTTGCTTTTAATGTTTTCCCCATCTGGAGAATTTTGAACTTTATTGTTATTGTTAATGAAAAATGTTACTATTGTGCAGAAGTTGGTGCTTTTCACTTTCTGTCCATCAACATATTTGATTGCCTGCATTCCTCCCTCACATTTTTATCATGACGTTTTAGGGGGAAAATGTCTCACTAGTTGACATTGCTTAGGTACAGTGATTCAGTATAGATTACAATGAGCCTCCTAATTACCCATGGATTTTAGAAAAACAAATTGTGATTACTAGCGGTTTTTCTTTTTTGATATATAAAGGAAAGAGGTTCAAATCAGAATTCTATGGGATCTCTTAGAAACAAAACCTAGAACTTACAAAGAAGTAGGATTTCCCAAAGAATTCTGAATTTACACACTATTATTCAATAAAAGGTGGAATTCTTGTGAAGCTGATTAACGTATGAGATCATGTTTCCCTGAGCAGCTGCTAGAAAGGCATGCCTATCATTTGAGAATGATGCCTTGATAGTCAAGGCATGTAATACGGTATGTATGTATATATATTTGCGTAAGGCAAAAATATGTACTTGCTTGGTGTGGTAATTTGTCACCTTTTGCAAAAGTGCAAGCCATGCTTCTTCCTAGCTCCAAAATGGAGCATGTTTTGTCTACTAGTTGATTGTTAATATTTAAAATATCCAATTGGGGTTTTCATTACTCTCATGCTTAAATCATATTTTTGTACAGACATTGCACAGAGATTAGAAATGTTATGGCTTTGCTTATATTCCTTTCCTTTTTAATAAAATAATGCTACAAAGGCTCTTTTTTTAAAGCTCCTTTTATGTGTATGTAGAACTGGAAAAACATATTTCAAAAAGACTCCATTGTTCTTTTTAAGAGGGCTCCTTTAATAGAGTGGAATTAAAAGGTCACTTGAGGTGGGCTAGAGTGAAAGATACATAGAGCTCTGTAGACAACTTTGTTGAGTTGCTTTTTCCAACCTGTTAGCTATCTTAAAATCTTGCTTATTCTCAGATGTAGCTAGCAATTAATTCCATCATATTAAAACATGATCCCATTAGAGATTAGAGCTGCTTGAATGCGAGGAGGGGGAATTGCATGAAAATTGTTTGGTACATGACAGTATTACTAATGCCTATATTACAATGTATATATATTAATCCAACCTTTTCCTCTCAATTTATTGGACTTGTCATTGGCTATGGCAACTGAGAACACTATATGTTTTAGTCCCAACCCATTTGCATTCTAATTCCTGGCCAGCATTGAACACAGCTAGGTAAGTTTGTCTGGGCAAGAGAATTTTATTTAAGATGTGGTCAGTATGGGCCAGGAACTAGGATCATTGCAGTAATAGCAATAGTAATAGTACTTAGACTAATATACTGCCCCAAAGTGCTTTACAAAACTCTCTGGGCAGTTTACAATGTCAGGGTATTCCAATCAACAATCTGACTCTTCATTTTACCGACCTAAAATACTGCATTTTAACCACTCACCACTAGAGCTCCCTAATCTAATAGTTATTAGAATGAGAAAAGCAACAAATTAATTAATTGATTAATTAATTAATAATTCTTTTTTCTATTCTGTTCCATGATTTGGTAATGCAAACTGATTTTTCTCTTCATATTTTTATTTTTAGCCTCTGATTTTATTCCAATCCGGCTGGTGGATGGGAGGAGCACTTATGAAGGAAGAGTTGAAGTCTACCATGCTGGCCAATGGGGAACTATCTGTGATGACCAGTGGGATGATGCTGATGCTGAGGTAGTCTGCAGGCAGCTTGGCTTTGGGTTAGTTTGTACTAGATATGTTATTTTCATTCAAAAAACTAAAAGCACTCAAAATGTTTAAGAAACTTCAAAATGCTTGTTGTCCTTCATGGAATATAGCTAATCAGTTTTGAAATCCAATAGCATTGTTTTTAAAAATAAACTTCCTGAAAATTTTGGAGGATTGGTTCTCATTCTTCCATATCTTAACTCTCATCAGTCACTTTGTTAAATAATCTTCTTTCCCAAAAATAGAAACAAAAGGCATTTTTTTTCTTTAGAAGGATGCATATATCTTTTCAGACATTTTGTTATAGTATTCATTAGTTACAATATGTATAAAGTTATAAAAAGGGCAGTAATATTGATGACACTATTTTAAATTAAAGCTAATTACAGCTCAAGTGTTATTTGGCACTTTGAGAATAGTTTTCCATATTCCCAATCCAATAACTGCATTCAAATAATGATAGAGAAAATTGACTCTTGTAAAATTCTCTACCCCAAGATAATTAGTCCCCTTGGCAAAAGAATCTTGGTGGGAAACTGGTGGCTCTGCACTTTCTTTTTATCCCCTTCTCTTTCTATTGTGGATTTTCTGCCTAATTTGAGGAGGAAAGTCAAACTCACTTTGTCTACTCCTGTTTACTTGGTACATATACCACAGCTTCAGAAACTGTTTTAGAAATGGGTCAGTGGTTTGGGAAACACTTAAGTAAAAAAGGACTTTATATGACATAATATGCTCAAATGGGAACCATTTTATTGTTTATTATTGTTTATTACTGAATATAGCAGAATACAACCATTTGTTTAGTTGATGGTTTTTAAGCAGTTATTCGACTATGAACATTATCTTCATTACGTAAGTATCCATAAGTGTCCATAAGTCATCCTTCTCCAAGTGGTGCTCTCCAAATTTATGAGATCATTGCTTTAAAAAAATCCAGGCTAGTTATACTCTCAGTAGATCTGGAGGCATTCGTATTAGAACCAGGGAAATTCAGAAGCTCCTTGTGACTTGTATTTGTCCCAAAGGAAGCTGAGCCTGAATTTACTGCAAGCTAATTTTCACAAAAAGGAAGAACAAACCAAAAACAAAAGACCCCCTCCCCCGCAACTCAACTCAATATAAACACAGATATAAAGTCCTGCACAATGTCCAGATCTTTCATCCTATCATCAGAGGGTCCTGAATAAAAATGTAGATTTATCTCTCTGTGTCAGTGTCTCTGCCTGCTTGCCTGCCTGCCCGCCAGCCTTCCTCTCCCTCTCTCCCCCCCACTCTCTCACAAACACAGACAGACACACCTCTGCCAGAAGCTGCACTATAAAGAAAGAGGTTCAGGACAAAAGATTGAATAACTCCCAATTCAAATGAATTACTTATAAAATAAGATACAGAATTTATAAAATTAATGTTATTTGTTTACTGCGCTGGTCATTGACCAAATAAAAATTACTTGAAAAAAACATTCCTACCCCAATGTACAAATCATCATTCTCATTTAGATAAACTGCGTGACACAATGTGGTGGAAAAGGTCCTCCCTCCAAATCTGGAGAAGATCCAAATTATCATTTCATAGCATGTCACAGTGAATCACTTGGTTGTTGCACTCAGACAAGTCAGAACAAGAGTTCCAAGGTCACATAGTTCCCATATAGGATGTTCATCATAGATAGCTTGGATACGGCATGTCCATTAGCAAAAAGTCCCAAATACAGACAGTGTAATTGCTTTACACTGATAAAGAAGCAAGATCATCACAAAGGGAGATGGGAGTTTCCCTTCACAATGTGAAATCACTACTAGAAAGGAAACACAGAAGGCTTGAGCCAATTGCTGCTCTAGAAGCTGACAATGGAAGAAGGGAGAGATAAAGAGGCATGGTAGAATGTATCTTTGAATCATTCCTCCTCTCAAGCCATGAACTCTTCAACCAATTAGTCACTATCAGGCACAAGCTGGTACAAGAATTCAATTCCTAAATATGCTACTAGAGCTACACAGTAAAGAAAGTAGAAATAAACACATGTGTAATGCTATACTTATATAAGTCAAATATGATTACATCATTGAAACATCCTGAGGTCTTATTTCCGCACTACATACTCACATGGAAACACATGAGTATACAAATATACACATTCCCCCTTTCATCTTTGTAGCAGAAACTACAAAATGGGTGAAGAGCAACAGATAGATGATGAGGAAAAGAAAAGAGCACAGTTTTGATTATGTCTTTCAGAGAGGGTTAATCTAACTCAGCAAGATTTCAAATAAGGTTAAACTTCAAATTAATTCTAAAATTCTTTCAAGGATGTATCAGTTTGGAATCACCCAGCACCTAAATTATGTCCATTCCTTTATTTTCAAAAGTTTCTTCTATACTTATCAGCTAATTCAGGGGTGTCAAACTCATGGCCTGCAGGCTGCATGCGTCACATGCTGGTCACTCCCACATCCATCTTAGTGAAGAGGAAAAAAGTTGCAATACGTCAGGTGACAACAATGTGCCGTTGCGAGTTTGACACCCCTGAGCTAATATATGACCCATTCAGTTAACACAATTGTTGAGGCAACAGGAAATCATCTTTTTACCAGTCAAATACTTGGGATGCCTCTGGTGGATAAAGTTAGTAAGATTTATTTCATCACATATTTTATAGGTCCTGAACTGATAAACATCTATTATCTCTTGCTAGTATACATTTTTCTTGAATGACTTTTAGCTAGCAATCTGAATACATGGTATTCGGGTAGATGTCTGCCTTACCTCATGACCTTTGTCCCACTTGTCTAATTAAGGGTCTTGGCTTAATAAGACCTGACAACATTATTTGGATAGTCTAATTTGAGTTTGTATTTGAAATTGCAAGCCAGCAGTTGAAGAGTAAAAATAGCAGTTCAAGGTTCTACTCACCATCTATAAAGCGCTCCATGGTAGCGGATCTGGCTATTTGAGAGACCGCCTTCTGCCAATTACCTCCCTGCGTCCCATCAGATCGCACAGGGTAGGCCTCCTCCGAATTCCATCCGCCAGTCAGTGCCAACTGGCAACTACTCGGAGGAGAGCCTTCTCTGTTGCGGCTCCGACACTATGGAACAATCTCCCCGTGGAGATTCGTACCCTCACCACCGTCCAGGCCTTCCGCACAGCCCTCAAGAACTGGCTAACCCGTCAGGCCTGGGGATAAGTTTACTTTTGCCCCTCCCGAATGTTGAGTGAATGTTGAGTTTTACTATTTAACTTACTTTTGTGCACATTTCTTTTTGTATTGTCCTACACTCCCTTTCCTTTTTGTAAGCCGCCCTGAGTCCCCTCAGGGAAAAGGGCGGCCTATAAATGTCTAATAAAACAAAACAAACAAAGTATAAAAGTTATTAACTTAAGATTTAATTAAAACAAATTGATTTATGGAAAGGCCATACCTGTAAATAGTATTGTCTTCATACAGTATAGGAAATATTAGTGGCATTAACATCAAAATATATACAGTAAATTTGAACATTGAAAACTTTGTGACAAGCTTCAAAAAATACACTCGTGTGAAGTAGCAAAACACACTGATGGGCCTCACTAGAAAACTAGTTCTACTTTCATTGTTTCCCAAAAATGTTGATGTCAATTTTTTCTTTCTCTTCTGTCTGATAGTTGTGGATTCTCTGTACTAACCTCAAGTATTGGTAATAAATAGGATAAGGTTAATAGGCTGCTTAAGTGTCACTTTGCTTTAACTCTTAACATTGTTTTTAGTGGAAACTGCTTTATAGACCTGCGAGAGGAAATATTTATATGTTAGGGAGAGGGGCTTGACTTTAGTAGTGTGTAAAAAGAATTTTCCAGAAAAAGGCAAGCTGCTGTAGAAAGAAGGTTGATCCATTTATTTCCCCACAAGAAGGTTTGTTCTTGATAGCAGCAATTAGATGGTACATCCATCAAGTTTTTATAATAGGATTTTGAGCCTTTTATGGTAAATGTGTGGAGTAGGGTTGTGTATGTCTGTGTCTTTGTGTGTGTGACTGGTGCTTCCATTTCTAGAGGAAACATTGTAATTCTTATTTTCTATACCTGTAAGTTCTCTTTTTGTTATATATATGGATTTTGTAGTTGCCCCTTAAGGGTGTAGGAAGTGTGGGCACAAGTGCTTTTGTCTTTTTAATTTGGATTGGCTTGCACGGGATCAGCTTCTGTCTATTTCAGTTCTTTGCATAATCAGCTTGTCTCAGGCTAAAACCAGTGATGAGCAATTCAGGAAGGTGCAGGGTTTCTTTTATTCTTATGGGATATCTCTTATTATTCTTTGGGAATTTATTTCTAATGAGGAATTTCCTTCCATTCTTGAGAGATCACTTCCAGAAGTGTTTTGGTAATGGCTCTTTTCAAGGGCTGAGAGAGAATAAATGGCCCAGCCCCAGTCATTTGGCTGGTTTAATTTGTTAGCTAAGGCAGAACTGAAAGTCATGTTTTTCTGGGTTCTAGCCTAGTTCCTTAACATTACATCAAACCGACTTTCTAAAATATTCAGCTAACTGGTTATAAACAAATTAATTGAATGAATGAACGAACAAGTATTACAAAGGAGAATCTGTCTGTCTGTCTGTCTGTCTGTCTGTCTGTCTGTCTGTCTGTCTGTCTTTCTATCTATCTATCTATCTATCTATCTATCTATCTATCTATCTATCATCTATCATCTATCTATATCATCATCATCTACTATTTTGGGCTATTGGAAACAGACATGCAAATAATGTTCAAAAGAAAACACAGGTTGAAGAATGGATGCTCAGATATTAGTTTTTAACTAAATTGATATAGGTGTTTCCTTTGCAGTAATCTTAATGTGTGTGCATTCAAAATATGTGTGCTTTTGTTCCTTGCATTTATAATATTCATATCTCATGAAAACCAAAACTAAGTATTTCAAACTCTACAATTCTATGGATTTCAACCCAAGCTTATGTCCAAACAGAATGGCAGAGACTGGGCTATGAGCTTTTGTTAACTCAATGAAGTTTCTGAATCTCTTTTCTAAATCTTTCTTCTTAATTTGCTGCTCAGCATGTTACTTTAAATATTGGATGAGACTGGGAGTGGTTTCAGTGTTGTGAATGGATCTCTCCTAGAAACCAAGTGTGGAATGCAAGCTTAGTATAGATGCAAGCACTTGTATGGAATTCAAATATTTTTTTGATCCCAATTTAAATTGCAATTTAAATTGCAACTTAAATTTGCAGTTTCAAAAACATTCCGCAAGTTGAATGGAAGTTCCACTTGCCTTAAACTCATATGATTACTCATTTTTTATTTAAAAAATATGCAAAGCTGTAATGTAAAACAAGAATGATGCTTTGACAAATCGACTCATTTTCTAAGAATTGAAATCTCAATTCTTCCTATATTCCTCAATTCAAGAATTGAAATGAGAGATAAGAGATATAGTAGCTGGGTATGGGATGACATGAGAAAGAGATACTTAACTATGTGGATCTTCTCAGTTAATCCAGCTGCAGATTGTAAACCAAAACCTCTTGGCAATAACCTTCCTGCTTGTCATAGATTGTCTTTGGTATTACTATGCAATATGCTTTCCAGGATTCACAAACAGAGAACATGAAGTCTCTGTTCAAGACTTCAAATAAAGTCTTATTTTATTTGAATTCCTAACCTCCCGGCATTTGAAATTAAGTCTCAGCATTGTAAGCCTATAAGAGATCTTTTCATATAATTCTTTGCAGTATAATAACTCTTTTGCAAACCAATTTATTTCTTTGCCATTTTTGATCTTTTCCTCTTTTACTTACTGGGTAATGAATAAAAGGATTATCAAGAGATTAGGAACATTAAAAAATGTTGTGTTTATTATGAAGTGTGCTTGCTTAAAAATTCAGTGATGTGAATGATATTAATGTTATGAAATATATTTTAGAAAAGTGTATAAATTAGAAATGAAAAGTATGAATGGAGAGACACTTCTAGTTTTAAATAGAATCCCTCATGTATAATAATCTCTTCCAAACCCCTAAGAAAGCTTCTTGGTAACTAGTCCAAAGAACATAGCTAGGGCAAAAAAATGGATACAGCATTAAACATGGATTTGCATTTGACATATAATCATTTAATGCATATTCATGCTTTTGTGAATCTCAGTACGCATGGAAAAGAGTTTAATCCCCCCCTTAGTAGTTTCAGCAATGAATAGAATAACTTGACAGAAATCCAAACCTCCAGTGGACAGCAACAAAGAAAGAATGTTTTTGTGCTTTTTTGCTGCCGTTTGATTTTTGCAATCCTTACTCTTAAAGCAATCCACACTCACTAGATTGCTCTTTGTATTGAAAAAATATCAATGGTATAAATAGCACTTTAGGAGAACAATTATAACCAACAAAAAAGAAAGGATTATATTTTACTTTCTACTTGATATTCTCCTGATGATTATTAACCCCCAACCCCAACAGCTATTAAAACTGTATATTAAACATACACATAGAACCATTTATGCAGTTCCAACAAGTTTAATTGATAATTCCATTTTCCATGATTACACTTAAAACAACTTACACAGCCATAAGAATTGGCTGGTGACTGGTATTGCACATAAGGATTTGCACAGAACACACTGTGAAACAGAACAAGCATGAAGAATTGCCTTCTGTAAACTAAATCCAATCCATTGTCTTTATTTCTTCAAGGTCACTTTTTCCTCTGCTACATTGAAATTTTAATCAGTTGAATGAATTGCTGAGCACAGGGGCAGAGGGTTAAGGTTTGTGGGAAGATGGTTCTAAGGTCGAACGTAGCATGGAAACATAGTTGACAGCCTGAGTGACCAGTTAAGTATCTACCTCGGTAACACACAGATGAATGCCCACAATGTTCCCTGCTGGGATATGTCCCTGATATCTGTGTCTGAATGCCAATTTATCTTTTTGCTGATAAAGGCTGATGATGATGTCTTGGGTGACAAAAAAAGACAAATATTCCTGTATTTGATAGATTTCTTAAAGAAATTATGTCCCAAAACAGTAGCCAATCCTTCTATCATTTCTTTTTGGTCAATTGTCAAGAGACTTTTAAATATTATTTATAAGTAACTATCATAAGAAAAATATTCCTTTCTCACCCTAGTCTATAATTTATTTCTGCTTCACTAGTTCTGTTTCTTCATAGCTGGCAGCCATCCTGATTATAAGATTCGGTTATAAATTCACTCTGCTCTAGACAAAGAAACATTTTTAAAAAAAAATATTATTAGTAATGAAGAACACTGAGATTTATCTTGGGAAAATGTGTTGAAAATAAACCAGGATGCATAAATCATTTTAAATATAAGCCTGGATTTTTCAACTGTATATACTATAACTAACTGGCTTTGTATCCAAAATGGGGCCTTATTTCAAATTTTACTGCCCCTTCCTTCTCTACTTATGTTTATATTTTCTCTTGAGGGTCCCCCCCTCCCATATATCTCTTGTGCCAGTTTATTGCATTTTGAAAACAAATAGCATTTGAATTTATATTTTTCCTCTCCTAAGCCATTTTAATATGTTCATTTAAATATAAAATAACAGGTTCTCTAGTTTAAGGATTGTATATTGTATTTCCTAAATGAAATATATTTACTTAAAAGGCTATAGAAAATCAGCAGAAGGTCTCTTCATTGATGTATGTCCTTAGTATCATTTTGAATGCTAGAATTTGCATAAGTAGTATAAATCATTTACGCAGTTAAATTGCACAGTGCTTGTCTTGCCATCAGTTTTCCTCTGTTTATTATGTTTGGACAGTGGAGTTGCCAAGTCATGGAGCGAGGCTCATTTTGGAGAGGGCTCAGGTCCTGTGCTACTGGATGAAGTACGTTGTACAGGAAATGAGTTGTCTATAGAACAGTGCCTAAAGAGTTCCTGGCAAGAACACAACTGTGGCCATAAAGAAGATGCAGGGGTTTCATGCACACCTCTGGCAGGTATGCAACCAAGGAATCATTTTTCTGAATCAGAATCACTGCATGGGTTAAGATTAATTGGCACAAAGTGGTTGAATATTTTTTAAACATCTTTTAACAATGGAGAAGATAACATTTCTTGATGCAGACCAAAGGCCTCATTTTGGCTTCCAGAATGTATTGGCCACATTTAAAAACAAGGGTGAAAGGAAATGCCTATGGCTGATGAGGGAAGAACTTGCTATGCAACATAATTGCAGGAAGGATGAATGTAAGTTAAGTATCAACATCTATAAACAGTTGTGCAACTTCTGTTTATCTTCTCTTTAGTATATCCTGTATTTAACCTAAACATTTTCAAGTACCTATTGATTTTTTTAAAGGATGATTTGCTTCCCTAGAAGTTTTCCATTGAAATGACTTAGTAATGGAGTAGCTCTGGTTCTGTGAACTATGAAGAATGCCAATGATTCAGAAACTCCATGTTCCACATGAAGACGTTCCTGCCATTTATTCTAAAAATATTCTGGTTTTCCCTGACTGTTTTGTGTCTGATTTAACCTAATTACAGACCTTAGGCAGTGTAGATTAGTGAGTGAAAGGACATTTGTTTGTGTGGGATTTAACAGAAAGGCACAAGTTAAGGATATAAATTATCCTCTCTTTTATTTTTGTCTATACAGTTTTGTCTCATAAATTATGAGCATCTGGGATGAGAAATTACACAACAACAACAACAGCAGCATGCAGAGGTGCTTGGGTAGACACGATACAAATAAAACCAATGCACTCCAAGTCTATTAAAATATTTTTAGCAGGAAATTCAATATCAGTGTTCCTCTAACATTGTTTTTCATTTAAATGATGCAAAAAGTTATTATCTAGCCTATAATTGTTCTATTTTGTAGTGCAGTTTCTTTTCTGTAATAGCAACATAACTAAAATACACTCTAATTTTGAATGCCACAGATGGTGCAGTTCGACTAGTTGCTGGAAAAAGCAATCATGAGGGACGACTGGAGGTGCTTTATAATGGGCAATGGGGCACAGTCTGTGATGATGGATGGACTGAATGGAATACGCAGGTGGTTTGTCGACAACTGGGCTTTAAGTAAGCTCCATTTATGTGAAGCTACTAATGATTATGCTGAGCAATACTGATAATAGTTCAGGGAATTGCACCTGCTTTGCTTCTTTGCTTTCTGATCAAAATCTACTTGTTTAATACTGTGGCCTTGAAATGATACAACAAAGAAGAGTGAAAATTAATTTTTTAAAAACCTAACTCTGGTTGGAAAAAAGGGCAAGAATTGTTATCTTTATTTACTTATTTTTGCAGCGTGAACCATAATTCAGCTTGACTTGACTCTTCTGTATTGGAAATTGTAATGAATGAACAATTTGTTATGAGAATATTCAGATTCTAATATTAACACAGAAATTGAGACCATAATTGAGGAAATACAGAGCTCAGGATTGCTATGCTTTGGGCAAGCAACCTGGACATTTGTAAGATCATTTTATTTTTATGTAATTATTAATCAACTATACGGCAAATCCATTTTACAGAAAGTGACTTTGGGTTGCCTACCGCAATCCAGTAAAACTGTAAAACAGTTATCTAAAACCATTAAAAACCAATAAAGACAAAATGAAGAAAGAAATTAATAGGCAGAGGTATATTAACAATAAAGGAGCTACCTCAATAATTCACCCATCCCTTGGGGTTCCCAGGCCTGCTGGTATAACCAGGTCTTGATGATCTTCAAAATGATCATCCACAGTGATGAGACTTTCTTTGCAGGGGAAAAAATTCACATTGTGGGCACCATAGTAGAAATTGCCAAATGAAGCTTGGAACCCATAACATGCCCATTCTATTGGATCTGGTGAGCTGGGCAGATTGAATCCAAAAGAGACAAAAAAAATCTTAGAATAACCTGGTTCCATGCCATCTCCATATTTTTTGGAGTATAAGATGCACCGGAGTATAAGATGCACCAAGATTTTGAAGAGGCAAATTAAAAAAAAAGGTTTTGCACTTTGCAGACCTCCCAAAAACGTCTCGTTTTTCACAAAAATGGGTCCATGTTTTTGTCAAACAAAGTGGCATACATATCCTTTAAGAGACTTGTAGAGTGCTTCTGGGGTTGGGAAGGGCAAAATGAGCAAGAAATGGCCCGTTTCTCGCAAAAATGAGCCTGTTTTTAGTCAAAAAAGGGCATGAATGGCCTTTAGGAGGCTTATAGAGTGCTGCAGGGGGCTGAGTGGGGCAAAAACAAGAAAAAATGGCCCATTTTTTGTTCATTTCTGCCCTCCCCAGCCCCCAGTAGCACTCTGGACGCCTCCTAAAGGCTATGCATAGCCATTTTTGCAAAGGGGGTGGGGCTTCGGAAGGCCCAAAATGCTGTATTTAGTGTATAAGATGCACCCAGATTTTCAGCCTCTTTTTTGAGGGAAAAAGGTGTGTCTTATACTCCAAAAAATACAGTAAGTCTTTAAAGGCCAATACCAG